GGGTTTTATGCTTTGCCTTGTTTTATTGCTATGTTTGTGGCTGAGACGGTTTATTATTTTAGGATTTGATGATTTAGGGGTTTTTTTATGTTTCATCTACCGTGGATGTTTTAATTAATTTTTCATATCGAGAAAGCTGCTGAGAGTCCTTGAACTCTTGTGGAATATCAATGCGATAAATAAGGAAAAGGCAGAGATTATTCTCCCCTTGCTGTTTGCTTTTGTGACTGGGGGTGGGGGGGTGAGTGAGCGAGGGTGAGGGGGTGCACAGGCTATATCCCCGTGAAGACCGGAGCACCTGGGGCAGGCAGGAGGCAGGCAGGGTCACTGAAGAAGAGAGCCGCTTTCCTTCCGTGGGGCCTGTCCGGACCCAGAGCCGAGCCAAGGAGCCCCTCCTGGGGCTGGGCCTCCTGCTGAGGTGGGGGAGGCCCGCTGCCTTCGGGGAAGGGCTGCTCAGGGACCGGATCGGAGCTCGTCTTTGTTCTGCAGCCACCGAATTGAAGCCTGACGTGGGCACGCCGGGGCTGCCTCCAGGAATCGTGCGCGCTCGCCTGGACGCCGATGGCTCCCTTGTGGAGGTGGGCGAAGGAGAGGTTCAGAAGGTGAGCGCTCCTGCCCCCCCGCCTGAAGGCCACTCTGTCTACGGGGGTCGCCTTGGCGCAATCCTCTGCCTGTCCCGAGAGCATCCAGTCGGGGTCCCTCCCAATCCTTTCCCTGGGGGAGAAAAGAAGGGAGCCAGGCGGCGAAGGTGGCTTCCTTCCTCCTCCTCCTCCTCCTCCTCCTCCCTCAACAGGCCAATCCACCCAGCCTGGACTACACTGAGGACCTGGCCGCCCTGGTCAGCCTGAACGAGGCGAGCGTCCTCCACGTTCTCCGCCAGAGGTACCAGTCGCAGCTGCCCTACACCTTCTCTGGCCCTCACTTGGTGGCCCTCAGGCCGGTTCCTTCCACCGCCAGCAGCTCCAGAAAGGTACGGTAACCGGACGGTTGGGCGAAGGGGGGGGGGGGGCAGACATTGCCCTGGGGCCCCTCTGGCGGGGCCCACCGTGGTTGTGCACAGAACGCACCAGCCCACATTATTTTCCCAGGCCTTCCAAGGCAGGAGGCACAGGATGTCTCCACACATCTTTGCGGTGGCGCAGAGGGCCTACTGGGGCATGCTGGCGCAGCGGCAGGACCAGGCCATCGTGGCCCTGGGCAGAAGCAACACGGGGAAGACCACCGCTTGCCAGAACATCCTGGAGTACCTTGTGGCCACCGCGGGCAGCGTGGACAACCGGGTCACAGGTAGGCCACGCTCCGGCCAGCCCCCCCCCCCCACCTCCACCCCCCCCGCCCAGCAGCCTTCGTGTCCCGGAGGGAGGGTGGCAGTGAGGGCCCCGCCTGCATTCTGTTTTGGGTTTGCAGTGGAGAAGATCCAGGCCGTGTTCACCGTGCTCAGAGCCTTTGGCACTGTGTCCGCTGGGCCCAACAGAGCCTCAACCCGCTTCTCCATGGTCCTGGCGCTGGATTTCAGTGCCTCTGGGCACGTAACCGCTGCTCACCTCCAGGTAAGAGGGTTGACTGGCACCGGGTGTGGCGGGGGGGGGGGTTTCTGGGACACAGCAGCCCCAAGCTCAAGGGGGCACCCCTCGCTGTGCCCAAGTGAGGTGCCCCCTTCAGCTGACCCGGAGTCCGCTTCCTCTCTGCTGCCCAGACGATGCTGCTAGAAAGAGCCCGGGTGGCGCAGCAGCCCGAGGGAGAGGGCACCTTCAACGTCTTCTCACAGATGCTGGCAGGGCTGGGCATGGACCAGAGGTAGGCAGCCGGGCAGGAAGCAGCAGGTGGGAGCGGGGCGACCTTCGGGCTCCCTCGGAATGCCCTGGACCTGGGCGTGGCTTGGGAGGGGCACATCGGCCTCCTGTGGGAACTGGGCGAGGGCCTCCCCCCCCCCCCCGAAGGAGAGGCTGCTGCTCGGCTGGTGCTCCTTTCCCCAGCAGAGGGGGCCAGAGAGCCAAGAAAGGCTGCCATGCCTGGGCACCAGGCCTGCTGGTGGTGAGCAGCTCTTGGTTGCTCTGACTGGCACCCAGGATGCTGAGCAAGCCCACCGGGCACCAGGGCTTTCTGCAAGTGCTTCCCTTTGCCCCCAACTTCTGCCAATAGGTCCACTTTGCACCTGCACCAGATGGCAGAGAACAGCTGCTTTGGCATCAGAGCCAGCCTGAAGGTGAGGATCCCCTGCCCTGCCCTGTCCCACCGTTCCCCTGACTGGGTGTCCCCCAAGGAAGTCTGAGGGCGGCCTGAGGAGGGGGCAGGGCTGGTCTCTGCCCCTTTCCAGTTCCTGAATGCGGCTCCGCTTGGCCTCCTGGCAGAGGGGAGGGGAGGGGATTGGGGAGGCCCCTCCCCCGACGGGAGTTGCTTCAGCATTTAGCCACTTGTCCTTGGCAGCACTAGCCTGCAAGAGACCACGGCTGACCAGGTGAGGTTCTGAAAAGAGGACCCCACGCTGGGGAAAGGAGCAGCCCACCCCATTGGCGTGTCTGAAGTGGCCTGGGGGAGCCCTTGCGTGGGCCCCGGGGCAGGTCCTGGGCAGGAAAGGAGGGAGCAGAAAGGGGCCCTTGGCAGGGCGGGTCCCCCTGGGTGAAGGAGATGGGAGCTTCCGCATGCAGATCCCAGCACTGGGGCCTTTCTGTGAAGGCTGCCGCCGCTGCTGCCGCTGGGCCCAGGGGGGTCAGGCAAGTCGTCCCCCCCCCCCCCCCCCCCCCCGCTGAGACCGTGTTCCATTAGCAGCCTCCCTCCAAGTCCAGTTCTTGCAGAGGAGAGCAGGAAGGCCAGGAAAGGCCTCTCGGGGGAGGGGGGGCAGCCCCAGGGATTCTAGGCAAAGTCTCCCCCCCAGCCGGTTCCGTCTTTGCCTGGGCAGAAAGGGGTACCATGGCCCCTGGACCCAGACCCTCTTCCTTCTTGCAGGGGGAAGAGAAGCGGGAGGCTTCGGCTGCCTTTGCACAGCTCCAAGCTGCCCTGGGCACCCTGGGAGTCGAGGCGGCTGAGCAGGAAGCGCTGTGGCGAGTCTTGGCTGGCATTTATCACCTGGGGGCTGCTGGTGTCTGCAAAGGTACAGCCAGGAAGGGGGGGGGCAGCCCCTGCCCTGGCCCTGCCCCCAAAGGCGAGGGGATGCGAGTGGCACCGACTTACTGGGCGAGGCTGGTGAAGGCCCTCCTGGCCGGAAGAGGCACCGTTGCTGAGGCCGAGGGCCGTAGAGCCCTGGGTCTCCCTGGCCTTAGTCGAAAGGCCGCCTGGC